CAACTAAAGGGAGAAGTAATATAATAAAAAGCAATATCTAAAAAAGCTCTTGTAATAAGTACAAAATAAGAAAATTCTAAGGGATAAGAAAGCTTTATGTCAAAGAATAAGTGTTTTTCTTTCTCGGGGACTCATAAAGATAGATCTTTCAATCGTAGATTCAATGAAGTACAGTAAAAGTAACTTAAACTGTACCTTCAGAACTGCTGGCTGTATCTTGCTCAGGGGGCCCTCCCACTGACTGCTCAGACATGACTTCAGGTGGAGTAGGCAACTGGAGATGGCCAGAACTGGTAGAGCTCTGGCTGGACAGGGCTGTTAAGAAGCGATCCTCTAAAGAACAACACAATCCTAAATAAGTCATTTAAAAAACATTAAGTCCATTTCTACCTAATATTAATGTTTTTAAAATGCCAACTCATATTTTTACTTCCTAAAACATTTTAGATTCTTAAAAATTATCTAGGTCATATAGCTTATGTCATAGATACAGACACAAAAATCCAAAAAGGTTACATGATTTGACCACAATGAAATCTTGGTGGCAGTATTGCAACTATTAACAAGCTTGACTCCTATCCAGTACTCTTTCTATTATACCACAATGCCTAAATTCACTTTATTCATTTTAATAATGAATGAAACTAGGACACTGTGGGAGAACTTACATGCTCATTCTGGGGGAGAAAAAAAACATTAAGTTATAATAGAAAAATACCAAGAATTATGAGTTGATCTCTTGTTCTATAGATAGTCTGTGTAAATTTCCCCAGTTTCTACAATGACACCACAGTATTCAATTAAATACTGTGAAAGATATCTAAGTCTAGAAAAGATTTTAGTGACATTAAAAATATGAATTTAACTTTATAAGATTTTTGCAGTGAGACCTGGAGGTTGACTTTGGAATAAGCAGAATAGAAATTTAATTTCCTTTTTTCTGTTTTATTTTCCTCTGTATTTAGTTTATTTCCATACCCTAATTTATCTCCCTGTAATACAGTGCATGATAATCTTAAGCTTTATTGAAGGAAAAAAAAGTCTATGAAAAATTACATCAGAAAAAAGTGCTCAAAATTAGCAGTTAAAAAGAACTTATACACTAAGAAATTTCTTTAAATCCAATATCAAGTGATCACTACACTGACCTTTTTCTCCATTTTGAAGTCCTGGAGAAATATTCCGTGGAGACGCATCCATTGCACTTATCTGTAAAAAAATAAATACTTTATTCTTAAGAAAACATTAAAATCACATTTAAAAAATTTTTTAGCCTGGTGAATCTTAAACTTTTTGGTTTCAGGACCCATTTACATTCTTATAAATTACTAAAGACCCATCAATTTTTAAAAGAGCTTTTGTTTACCTTAGAAAATTTTACCTTATTAGGAAATAAAACTAAGTTTGTAAATATATATTTATTAACTCATTTAAAATAATAAACCCATTACATATTAACATAAGTAATATATTTATTAAATAAAAACAAACCTATTTTCCAAAATTAAAAAAAAAAATTGGTGAAAGAGTGGCATTGTTTTACTTTTACAAATATCTTTAATATCTAGCTAAACAGAAGACAGATTCATATCTGGCTTCTGCATTTAATCTGTTGAGATATATTGTTATGACTGAAGCATGTAATGAAAATACAGCTTCACACAGATAGGTAGTTGAAAAAGAGAAAACTTGCAGAACCACGTGAAAGGGTCTTGGAGAGTCCTTGAACCACACTTTGAGAATACTGTTCTAAACAGTAACTCATTTATTAGCATTAAAGCATCTAGAAATACTTACAGTTATCCATTAACCCTAGTAATCCTTTATTATCCACTGAACTTTCTCAAGTTCCATAAGACATATTTAGAATGACTATAAGTCCCATGTACAGTTTCATTACAAAGTCATTTCTTAGCTCTTTGATTGAAGATCACCATATCAGAGAGACTTCTCTGGCCATCCTGTACAAAATAACCTATCACCACTACCTACTCCCTCAGCAATACTTTCTACCTTCCTTATTTGTCTATTCACAGCTTTTTTATACTTGATTTTTAAATATATATTGGTTCATGTGTTTATTGTCAGTGTCCTCATTAGACAAATGTTCCTTGAGGAATGGTCTTTGTTGGGCCGGCCCGGTGGCGCACTGGATAGTGCGCCGCTTGGGAAGCGCGGCGGCGCT